TCTGTTTTATATTGTTAATTAATTTTAAATTTGATATTACTTTTTGACTTACACGAATAATAATACCATTTTAATTGACTCTCAAAGGGGTAAATTAAGTTTTTCCTCTTCAAAAGCAAATAGGATTCAAACCCCATAATACTTTTCATGTGCTCAGCTTCAATTTATGGCCGCCAAGTGAAACTATTCTGCGTGTTTGCATATGGTTGACACGGAATTTCTCTAAGGCAGTCCATATGGCAATTAATAAGGCTAGTTGAGAGTTTACTTTGCCTAATCGAAGACTCAGCTAACGTAGTTCCTAGTGGGAAAAGGCCAAAATCTTGATTGATATTTGGAATAAAGCTAGTATGGCAGTGATTCAATCTGTAGGCAGTGAAGCACACGCACAAAATTGCACTAAACATAAAACCTAAGACCACAGCTAGCCATGAAGAGTACATGAAGGAAGTCAAAGGAGAACAATTTGCCTTGCAATAAAGAAACAGTTGGGACAAAAAAAAAAAACTAATCATCTATGAAGGCAATGGCAGCATGGGAGTATTTCCGAACAGTAGCTTTGAACATAAGAAAAGATATTTCATTATGGATAGTCATACATTTCTTCTCTTTGCCAAAACAATTACTCATATTCCCTGATGATGCAAGCCCTTTTAACTGGGTAACATGGGATGCCATGATTAACTTGCTGCTGAGCTGTCCACAAAGTTGTGGACTGAGATGATTTCTCAAGCCCATTCATGGGACCATTCCCTCTTTTCCCTTCAAAGCAATTACAAATTATGCTTCATTGAGATCAGTTTATCATAAACCTAGAAGTCACCTACCTCACTTGTTTATTTGTAGTACATGTAAAAAGTTATGGTTCTGCCCACATGACCTCTTCTTCAGTCTTACTGAACCGTACAGCCCCCCCAACATGAATGACCTTTTTTCAGTGTGGTTTTTGAGACTTTGAGCCAAACCTGACCCATGAATTCCAGACTAAATGGACCCAGCTCAACCATTTTCACGTGCTGTCGAATTATTTAAGGTGTGGGTCACGAATTCTTAATGGAAAACTATTTGTTAATTGCTTCTTTAATGCCATTTCTTGGATGAAGTAGCTTAACAATCCTTAATTTATGTTTGCTTAGTCTTATAGTCCTTGGCTGTAACATAGTTTGCCTACTAATTGAACTTTTACTGCTTCTTAATTTTCTTAATTCCTTATCTTCTTTGCCACTTGAAGGACAAATACTTGGCAGTCCGAAAAGATTCGATTTCGAGCAAATGCACACATCTCCATCGATACACTCATATGTTATCCAATCGTGTACCTGGAATCTGCTTCGAAGTTACACACTAAACCTCATGAACTACAAAATGCTTAACTTGGATTAGATTCGCCATTTCAATCAATAAATCTCAGTGCACCCATCAAATAACAGCATCCAACTAGTTTGCATCTCGCCAACTAACAGCTTTGATCATGATGCAGGTAATGCTTCAGGTTATGGCTGCAGTATTGTCCAGGAAATCACCTTTTTGCTAAAGGAATATATGTTGGGAATTGGAATAACAAAAGGATAAATATATTTTTCATAGTGGAAACTGGAAAGAATCAAGTCCCCTTTCAAGTGCAAGAATTGTCAAAGAAAGAAAGGGTAATTAATTAGTTACCAACAAGTGAAGTAAAGCATACGCAGCAAATACATAGAGTATGTCCCAAGTAATTAAACAGTTCCACCTTACAGAATGACAGTTAACATCCTTTAGCTGCTGCGTTTCTCTACTTTTTGCAGAAGGAAAAAAGATAATACTAAAGAGTTGTCTTCATCCTTTTACCCCCAGAGGCAGCCATGTGGGATTCAGTTACCTGTCCAAAGTGGAGTAGTTAAATGACATCAGTTTTGTCATTGCAATGAAGCTTTTGAAAGAATGGTTTTTGGGAGATTAGGTGAGCTAGAAGTGATCCTCAATGTTCTTGCACATGGAGGGGATCTGATCTGAGAAGTCAAAGTATTGGATTCTACTCAGGCTCACTGGAGCAAAGCTTAGCTTAGCATTAGATTAGTGTTCTGTTCCAATTTTTGATTTTAAGCCATGGGTGAATTGTAAAAAGGATGAAAATTCTGAACAAGATCCAGGGATCAATCAAATACAACATTCATCATTGATGGTAGTTCCCTCTCCTGGGAGATACTCTCTTAAAAGTCAAGATTTTCGCTTGGAAACAACACTTGGGTATGGAGGTGGCACCTCCTCGTGACCTCTTTTAGGAAACAATGACATTGACATAAACTTCACAATCCAGACCTTGTTTCCTTTACAAGCTTTGAAAGGTGTAGGTAACATTATTGAGTTCAGGAAAAATGATAAAATAAGTGCGTTTTCCTCCACTTGTTTTATATTTTAATGTACCTATCTAGCATATAAAATGTTCAAGTTTATGACTTTGATGTACTTAATTAGAACCATGGTTTTAATAACAATTATGAGCAATAACTGTAAATGATTCAAGCACTATTGACTTAATTATTTTTTGAATTTAAATCACATGCCTTTTAAAAATTTAAATTTTAAAAATTACATTTACATCGGATATAAAATAGAATATCATAATCTCATCCATTCAAATTTTCGATACCCTCGTCTAAAGCTATACATCACAATCACAATAAATATTTACTCTACATAACTAAAATCTTACCAATGTAACATGAAAGCCAGTATCGGCTTAACACATGATTTGATATCAATTGTAGTAACTTTTTAATCCTAAATCATATAGTCTTAAACTGCTTAAGACCCTTGTGATTCATTATGCAAGACCAAAATCTTAGCAACATGATTTGAAAGTCCATACCAAGTTGACACATACTCTAATACTAATTATAACAACTTAAATTTAAATACCACGGATCCAATAACTTTTCAACTCTAAATCACATAGCACTAATAATCCGTAATAGACTTAGACTCTTATATATCTCAAGTGGGATGAGATATCACAATAATCAAGATAATTTTTTTTCATTGCTTAGATATTAAATTATACTTCATTTTTTACTTATTTATCTCAAAATTTGGTTTAAACTCTCTAGTCTTTATTCAGTATTAATTTTAACTTTAACAATCTAAACTACTAATTATAATCTTAATTGTATGACTTGATTAAGAGAGATCTTGAGGGTAATTTTAATTTTAATTTTTCTTTTTCCCTTATAAGAAGGGATTAGAAGGAATTTTGACATGAAGAGTAGGAAAAGGCATATAGAAGGCAGCAACGGGCATGTGCCTCCTCGCATCACTCTTTATCACGTGGGGCGTCTTTGCCACCACATGTAAACCCCACTTTGTCTTCCCCTTTTCTTTCTTTACCTTTTGGTTGGTTTAATTTTCCTCTTTCTATCCCAATCCTTCTGACATTTTACCTAAATTAACACCTCCTCCTTTCATTCCCATAATTTAATTTTGTTGATTAAAACCAAATAAATTAATTAGAATTAATTAATTAATTATCGTAGTTAAATGCTTGTTTTGAGATCAAAGAGTTTGCTAGTGACACTTAACTTGCATTCTAACCATTGACCCTTTATTAGTAATTGTCCAAGTCTTCTTTTAATGGTGTTTGGTTCACTTATCCTTTCAATTTGTAAATTTTTCTTTTTCTTTCCTTTCCTTTTCAAATATATTAAGTTGTCTATTTCAATTTCAGGTAGCTATATGTACATGTACATGTACATTCACGTGTTTGTTTAAATTCAATTATCCATTTCTTTTTGAAATAAATGACGAAAATATACCTTTTAATGGGATGCAAACTTTTTTTTTTAAATGTAAATATCACTAGACTCAAGTTAAGTTGGGTAATTAGGCATTGCATGAAATAAGTCAAACTTTACAAAATCAGAGCATGCGTAGACAAAACTCAAAAATATATATATATTTGCAAAAAATACATTTATTTTTTTAATATTTATTGAAAAAATCAGCTAATTTTGGTGAATTTGGTTTTCAAAACCCTTTTTCAATAAAGATACAAAAGAAAGAATTATGGGTTAAAATTGGGAGTCTTTATCATGTAAAATCAAGACAACAAAATCATTAATTCATAGACCAAAAAGACTTTAATAAATACTAACTCCTCCATTAGCATTGATTGCTTGGTGCTTTCATGCATGGAAAAAAGGTATAACGGGTGAAATTTGGGTAGCTATTTTCATACCTAAATTAGTTATCCAATTACCCAAAAAGGAAAAAATAAAATAACATTTTAAAAATAATATTCATATACAACTAAAGCCCAACTCATTCTTTATTATTTTTCTATAAAATCACACATATCTTAATTTAATTTTTCTTAATAAGTTTATAAATATTAATGAGTCGTAACAAACATAATAAAATAAACAATTTTTATCTTTTTTATAAAATGTTGAGATTCAAAATTTAAATTTTATTTCGTTTAGTATGAGTCGAACGGGTTCAAAATTAATTATTGAAATTTAAAATTTTTTTATTAAAAAAACAAATTAATTATTTTCCCACAACAAATAAATTTTATCATCATTAAAAAATTGGCAAAAATCTTGGACTGGGGGCCCATTGGTTTCATTAGAGTGGCTCCCAGCTCTCCTCATTAACAGGAAACTAGCACTAAATTGTCCCGTTTCACACAAAATAGCTTTAATTAATGACCACTTAACCTCCTTTCAAAATTTAAAAGCACTCCAGATTTAAAGAAAGGGGGTAATCTCGTAATATCTGGGATAGTGAGAGGCAATTGACTAAGCTCAAATACCGTTTCATTTTCAAATTTTTTCGCATTTTGCCTTTTTATTTATACCCTTTTAGCCTTTTGTGCTTCCCATTGTAACGGTCGGATGTTACGATGTACGGAGGTCACTTAACGCCGTTAACCTAACATCTATCCAAACCTCGCTGCCGTCCATACTTTCAAACGGCGTCAAATCTAAACTACAAGCTCCAGGCTCCCTCTCATCTTTCTCACGCTCTCTCTTGTTTATTTTAAAACGAGGAATAAATAATCGTCGCTCTTTGGAATTCATTAACTCTCTCTCTACACTCTAAAAAGGCTCAGCTGCTTCTTCTCTCTCTAGAATCGTCGCCATTTGAATTTCCTTTCGACTCGCCGGCATTGTTATTCACTGTAAGTTTTCACTGACGAATTTTCGTCGCCGATTATCTTTTTCTAAAGTCTAAATCGGTTAATTCCGATCCGAATCTACTCGTAAATTTCAATCACATTTTTCTCGTTGATTTTTTATTTATTTCTTTTTTTAGTAAAAATTGCTCTTCTTCCAAATCTGTGTATAAGATTAACATTTTTGTTTTTCTTTCCATTCAAATTTTCTTTCTATTTTTCAAATGATGATCTTGTGTAACTGAATAGCTTATTCATCACTGTCGAGTTAACTCACAGAGTTTTCAGCTTTTCCTCAGTCACCGAGTGTACTAAAACGTTTTTAGATGCATTAAAGAAACGAACATGTAACTGAATCTTGAAGAAATACTACTTCATTTTCACTGAATCCGAGTTGGCTCGGTGTGCTTTTGAATCGCAGAATCCTTAGAGGTTGTCTGCAATGGAATCTTCACAGCAACAAAGAAGAGGAGGAGGATTGGTATCGCTATCTCCAGCGCAAACGCCACGTTCAAGCGATAAATCGATGCGAGATCTGCGATCAGGCGATTCCAATTCAAGTTCCAAACATGATAAAGAAAAAGGCGTTAACGTTCAGGTTATTTTACGTTGCAGGTCAGTCTTATCTTCTTCTTTTTATTTAGTGATTGAATTAAATGAATAAGATTAATAATTATAACAAATTTGATTTCTTTTTTGTAGGCCGTTGAGCGAAGATGAAATGAGAATACATACGCCGGTGGTCATATCGTGTAATGAAAGTAGAAGAGAAGTTTGTGCTGTACAGAATATTGCTAATAAGCAAATTGATAGGACCTTTCTTTTTGACAAGGTTTCACCTTTTTTTTTTTCAATTATTAGTATTATTTCGTTTCTGGTGGGTGGAGGGTTTTTTTTATTATTATTATTAAAAAGGATTTGTTTGGTTCTTGAGGAAATGTGGGGGGAGTGAAAAGCTGAAATTTTCTTTGTTGGATTCTAAAAGGTAAAGAAGGATTTGATAATTTAAGTGACGATTTATAATGTTGGATTTAGGTCTTTGGTCCATCGTCTCAGCAAAAGGAGTTATTTGATCTAGCTGTGTCTCCAATTGTGAATGAAGTTCTTGAGGGTTATAATTGCACTATCTTTGCATATGGTCAGACGGGAACAGGAAAGACATACACAATGGAAGGAGGGGCAAGGAAAAAGGTTCACCTTTTCCTTCTGTTTTATACAATTTTAAAATTCATGTATGAATTTCTTGGTCTTTTGCTTGCTTTCAATTCTAAGTGAACTTTTGGTTTGTGCAGAATGGGGAATTTCCAACCGATGCTGGTGTTATCCCAAGAGCTGTTAAACAGATTTTTGATATATTAGAAGCTCAGAATGCTGAATATAGTATGAAAGTTACATTTCTAGAGCTTTACAATGAGGAAATAACAGATCTTTTGGCACCGGAGGAAACTTCAAAATTCGTTGTTGATGATAAAACTAAGAAACCCATTGCTCTTATGGAAGATGGAAAAGGAGGTGTTTTTGTCAGAGGCTTGGAAGAAGAGATAGTGACAACTGCAAATGAAATCTACAAAATCTTGGAAAAAGGTTCTGCTAAAAGGCGTACTGCTGAGACTCTACTTAACAAACAAAGTAGTCGTTCTCATTCTATATTTTCTATTACAATCCACATTAAGGAGTGTACTCCAGAGGGGGAAGAGATGATTAAATGTGGAAAGCTAAATCTTGTTGACCTTGCTGGTTCTGAAAATATTTCACGTTCTGGTGCAAGAGAGGTATTGCATCACCACCCTGAGTATATAATTTTCTTTAGCAAGTGTCTGGGAAGACTCAGAGGTGGATGTCCTTGCTATGAGTCTTATGCAACAGTCAAATGAAAAAATTCTCTATGTTGATGCTGTCTATGTTAGGATATACGAAAGTTTTAAGGGTTGATCCCCATGTAAATTGACTCTTACAGGGCAGAGCAAGGGAAGCTGGAGAGATTAATAAAAGCTTGCTTACTCTTGGTCGTGTTATTAATGCACTTGTTGAGCACTCTGGCCATGTTCCATATAGGTATGAATTATCAATAGGCGAAAATTTCTCATTAGTATCTTGTTTGTTTGGGATAAGATTATATAATACATTTACAATCGCAGAGATAGCAAACTAACAAGGCTGTTGAGGGATTCCTTGGGAGGGAAAACAAAGACATGTATAATTGCCACAATATCTCCTTCCATCCATTGTCTGGAAGAAACACTCAGCACCCTAGATTATGCACATCGTGCCAAGAACATCAAGAACAAACCAGAGGTCAGTGGTTTAGTCATCCCCCATCATATTTTTTTAGCTTTTTGTTGCTAAATTCTTTCACATTATAAAGCTGAATTATTTCTCATTTCCCTTATATGTGAAGTTAAATTACTTTTTCTTTTTGCAACATGCTGAAATCATTGAAATTTGTTAATATTTCAGATTAACCAGAAGATGATGAAATCTGCTTTAATAAAAGATTTATATTCTGAAATTGATCGGCTGAAGCAAGGTAGTTGACTACTTCCTAAATTTTTTGCCAAGAAAACTTAATTACCTCATCAATCAGTTCTAATATGTGATCTTTTGGAATTATCCTTTTTTATGTTTAATCAGAGGTGTATGCTGCAAGAGAAAAAAATGGAATTTATATTCCACGGGATCGTTATCTCAATGAAGAAGCAGAGAAGAAGGTTTGATGCTAACCATATGATTCAATGGTAGAACTGTTTGTCCCAAGTTTCATGGTAGAATGAATATTATTAATATTTCTAATATATATTACCTTTTACATCAGGCTATGGCTGAAAAAATAGAGCGCATGGAACTTGAATCAGAATCGAAGGACAAGGTACATTTAATTGAAAACTACCGTTTTGTTCTTTGAGATGTAGGATTTAGGGATCAAGTTAATTTTTGTCCCTTACTTCTATGCAGCAAATTACTGAGCTCCAGGAACTGTACAATTCACAGCAGCTGTTGACTTCAGATTTAAGTGAGAAACTTGAAAAGACAGAGGTATTACAGTTTTTGGATGGTCAACTTACAAATGTCATATTAGCTCGTTTCTCGTCTTATACTGTGACAGAATTGAATCCTCCCTTTCTTTTTTTCAGAAAAAGCTGGAGGAAACTGAACATGCATTGTTTGATCTCGAAGATAAACATAGACAAGCAAATGCAACAATTAAAGAGAAGGAATTTTTAATATCTAATCTCCTCAAAACTGGTAAGTTGAAAAATGCTTGGGCACACTTATCTGGTCTGGGCTTTGTCTCCCCTTTCTTTTCCTTTTCCATTTTCTTCCTTTAGTGGTTGTTTTTTCACTTTTTCATCTGTTTCAAGGTAAGTCCTCATGACATGTACATATATATATTTCTGATAATAAAAGATAAATATAATATCTTTCTGGCTTTATCTTTCTCTAGTTTGAACTCATGCCTGTTTATATATTATGTTTCTGACGATAAATATGCCTCATCACTATTTTTTCAGAGAAAGCACTCGTTGAGCGTGCTTTTGAACTCCGAGCAGAGCTTGAGAATGCTGCATCGGATGTCTCAGATTTGTTTGCCAAGATCGGTTAGTTTTCTTCAGAGTGCACTTTGTTTTAGCATGGTTTGTTCTCTAAAAGTATGTTTCTTTTTAATGCTGTTTGGTTTTCAGAAAGGAAGGATAAAATTGAGGATGGAAATAGAGCACTTATCCAGAAGTTCCAGTCCCAGTTGACGCAGCAGCTTGAAATTTTGCATAAGACTGTGGCAGCTTCTGTGACTCAACAAGAGCAGCAACTGAAAGACATGGAGGAAGATATGCAGTCCTTTGTATCAACAAAGTCAGAGGTATGGTTTCAATCACATTTAAACATATTCTGGGACTTGATTTGTATGTTTTCTAATAGCTTGCCCTTTTTATAACTGAAGGCTACGGAAGAACTTCGTGGAAGGTTAGCGAAGTTAAAGAACACGTATGGTTCGGGTATCAAAGCATTGGACAATATAGCCACAGAGCTTGATGGAAATTCCAAGTCAACTTTTGGTGATCTAAATTCTGAAGTTTCCAAGCACTCACATGACCTGGAAGAGGTCAGGAGTATTCACATAGCTAGTTTTTAGTGCACCTTTCTTATCTAATTCTTGTGCTTATGAAGTTATTTATATGGTTCAGCTTTTCAAAGGAATTGCTTCCGAGGCTGATGCATTACTTAAGGACCTTCAAAGTAGTCTTTACAAGCAAGAGGAGAAGCTAACTACATTTGCACAACAACAGCGTGAGGTTTGTAATCTATTGCTTTATGTCTTGGCTAATCTGTAACTGTGAGGTGTTCGGGAGTAGACTCACTTGTTACATAAATTCTTTCCATTTCATATACAGGCACATTTCAGGGCAGTGGACACTGCAAGGTTGATTTCTAAAATAACAGTGAATTTCTTTGAGACTTTAGACATGCATGCATCCAAGCTGACCAAAATAGTGGAAGAAGCACAAACAGTCAATGATAGCAAACTGTCTGAATTTGAAAAGAAGTTTGAGGTAGTTACTGTATTTAATTCAGATAGACTTGCTTTTATTAAAGTGTTTTACTGTTAAATTTAATGCATTCTATTACACATGCAGGAATGTGCTGCTAATGAAGAGAAGCAATTGTTACAAAAGGTGGCAGAGTTGCTTGCAGGTTCGAGTGCTAGGAAGAAAAAACTGGTACCTATTGCTTCTAATCTTGACAATCTTATGGGCTGCGTGTGTTCTTGATCTGTGCTTGATAACTGTTTTTGAGGAATAAATTCCCGTATTTATTTTCCTATTAGGTTCAGATGGCAGTCCATGATCTCCGGGAGAACGCATCCAGCAAAACCAGTGAACTACAGAAAGAGATGTCTACCATGCAAGAGTCGACTTCCCTAGTTAAAACGGAATGGACAGTTCACATGGAAAACACAGAATCCCACTATCTTGAGGATACTTCTGCTGTAGAACGTGGAAAGAAAGACATGGGAGAGGTTCTTCAGAACTGGTATGGGCTGTTTTCGTGGTGATGCATAGAGGACATTTTTCACAGGCATCGATTTTCTGCTTTCATTGGTGTTCTTTTAGTATGCACTGAACATTCTACAAAAATTATATGCAGTTTGAAGAAAGCAAATGTGAGTTCTCAGCAGTGGAGGAATGCTCAAGAATCCCTTCTAAGCCTAGAAAAGAGAAATGTTGATTCTGTGGATTCCATTGTTAGGTATGCCACTTCCTCAAAAGTATTTTAGAAATTTTCAGCTCTATATTCACTTCCTCAAAACTCTTTCTTCAACTAGGGGAGGGATGGAAGCCAACCAGATCCTCTGCGATCAATTTTCTTCCGCTGTGTCTACTGCTCTTGAAGATGTAGACGCCGCAAACAACAGTTGCCTGACATCCATCGATCGTAAGTATCTAGATTACAAAAATAAATGAATACCAGATATGCAGCATGAATTTCAAATAAACTGATCAACCAACCAAATGCTGGCAGACTCATTACAACTTGACCATGATGCATGTGGGAACATGAACTCGATGATTGTTCCCTGTTGTGAAGATTTGAGGGAATTGAAGGGTGGTCACTACCACAAGATTGTAGAAATCACAGAGAATGCAGGGAAATGTCTCGAGGAAGAATACATGGTAAGACTGTAAGAACTTGTGATTATTATTATTATCTCATACATTTTGCATATTAACCCTCTTTTAACTCTGGCAGGTGGACAAGCCGTCCTGTTCGACTCCAAGGAGGAGGTCATTCAACCTTCCCAGTGAGTCATCCATTGAGGAACTCAAAACCCCTCCATTCGAGGAATTATTGAAGTTGTTTTGGGAAGCAAAATCTGCAAAACTAGCAAATGGAGATGTAAAACATATTTTGGCAGCATATGAAGCAGCCCAATCCCTGAGAGACCCCAGAGTTCCTCTCACTGCTATTAACTAAAGGCTCAAGTGGAAGAAGGAAGAAACAGATGATAAAAAGAAATGAGTATAGTTTGGTAAGAAGAAAAGGTGTGTACAGAATCAGATATACGTAAATGGGGCTGAACATGAACCTCTCTTGCCTTCTCCTGTCTTATATTCATTGATTGTTTGTTGAAAGAATTCCACTGCATGCATGCAGGAAATCTCAAATTTATACTAAAAATAGATTTTCTTTCGTTATCCTTATAACGATAACTTTGATTGCCTTGATGATTACCAGGATAAGCCAAAGGTAAATAATTTGCATACAAAATGGATTTCTCTCTTATTTCAGTTATCCAAGAATGTGATGAAGTAAAATGAATCAAAATACCTAGTATTTCTTAAAACTCTTGTACACAACAGATCTGCTCAAGTCAATCAAACATAAATAGAACGAAATCATCTAAAATCTTATGCACAGAAGGGCATAGGCATTTTATGGGGGCACGTGTTACAAAGACGAATGCTCGGGTTTTTATAAGCTCGGTGAACATATGGGAACTATATTTGGAAATTATAAAAATATGAAATCAAAAAATATTTATGGGATGCCCAATCATCAAGTTATCCACCTGTTCTAAAACACATTCTTGGGGGACCATTAGGAGATCACTTTCTAACCTAACATTTTGTGCTAGACTCACTATACAAATGTAACCGTCCAACCTATAACACACACCTTGGATGGGGAAATGACAACCCTGCCTTCCTACCCTAGGTGGACTTTGACCTGCAAAATAAATCAGTGCTTCACTTGGTCAGAATACCACTCAGGTCAGCGGCAAAGTACAAAAATACAAACATCTTCTAAAATAAAAGAGTTTCAGGCTGAGTTAAATACTCCTTCCTTGTATCTACAATTACGGTCATCTGCAAGCTTCATAGATTTTAAACATAATTCCCTACTTCAATTTGCCAACAGAAACAAGGCAGTATGTGTGACAGACAGAACTTACCAAAACAAGATGCTAATAGCTTTCAAAGTGTCAACTAAATTCGTAATTACACATGTTCACAAAAAATTTACCAGAATCACAGAGGTGAAAATGGTGAGAACAATTAAGGTTATTGCTGTCTAAAGGATAAACTTGGCAACAGCTAACAAACAAAAATCTGTACACCATAAATATTTCATAAAATTCTTGAAAACTACCTGAAATATTTGATCATAATATGCTTGCCCTCAGTAGTCCAACTGGTCTTTCTCTCCCAAAAGTTTCATCATCAAAATCTTCATTAGTGGAATTTTCTTGACATAGCAATTTGCTCTCTTGCACAGGATTTAGGTCAAGAGGCTCCCACGTCATTGGATGACCCTGCTGAGTGTTACCTTGCTCAGACCCATGACTGCTGTCAGCATTATCCTCCCCATTTTGTCTATCATGACAATCTGTCTCCATTTTCTTATCATCATCAACACATGACGGTTCAACATTGAGATCAGAGCCCAAATCAAATCCTGACTGATCCCCAGTCCCATGGAAAGCCACAGTTACAGCTCCTTGATCAGATTGCTCTGTGGGATCTTTTTTCTGCCTCTTCCACTTCTTAGTGGATGAAGTACCATCATCCTCAAAATCTTCTTCTTCTCTTTCTCTATGTAAATAAACCCACAATTTCCTCTCTCCGTCGAATTGTACACAAGGATCACGTTCATAATGCAAACGGTCTAAGGCCCCACTAACAACCTGGTTAACTTGTGCATCAGAAACATCTTCAACAATATATTGAGAGTCTCTTATCAAAGTACAAACATCTGCACGGGTGCCAATACTTCCAGGCAATCTGGCAGCAGCATCTCTCACAAGACAAAGAATCGTAACATGTGGTGGCCGATCACGTTTCAGCATAAAATGGTCTCGAGCCTTTGAAGTTGGCTTACCTCCACACCTTCTCAAGGGAGCTACTATAGATTTTTTACCATCAGCAGCTGTGTAAGAGAAGGCCCTGTCAGGAATAGAATACCTAAGAAGCTCCTCCCTACGGAAATAAGCTCTCACTTCTTCAGAACTTGGGCTAATGGTGTTAAGGCTTTTCTGAGCTCTTAGGTCTCTGAACCTTTCTTTCTCATCTAAATTGACCTGCATCAGTTCAAGTGGTGGTGCAGGAAGACTCCCTATTTGTTGGAGAGTCTCCTGACCATTTTTTAGCCAATTAGCAAATGAATCAACCAATTTGACAAGCATTTTATGAGGGAGACCCCAGGCTTCAGGGGATGTCACCTCCTCAATAGTCTCATGATCATTTGAGCTATGTGCAACAGGACCAACCCAAGACCAACTTTTTGTGGACTTTTCATAGGCAACAAGTGCTTTCCAACCTTTTGCCCCCAAAGGCGCTGTTTTTGATGAGAAAATTTTCAGAACTCCCCTAACTAAATCTTGAAGTGGTTCTTGTGTCTCAAGGATACATGGATCTCCAGGATTCACTGTTACACGGTTAACAATCTCATGAACAGTAAGAGAAGGCACACTTGTTTGCACAGGATGGTCCAAATTATTAGTAACTGCATTGTCACGAGAAAGAACCCCATTCATACTACCTTCTTGCTTTCCATTCTGCTCCTCTCTAGGTTTACCAACCTCTAAGGAATCTTCTGGAAGTGGAGTAATCATTGCCATGCGAACTGCAGAAAGAAGATGTATAATTGAGAATGAGAAACCAGTATGAACTGTAGGGGTAATCAAAATAAATGGCTTTTTCTGTGGTTTGGTTTCCATCTCAACATCTGTGGCTCCCATTTCTGCAGCATGCAGCTCAGAAACTTCCATATCTGAAGTACCAGCATCAACCTCCACTTTCCGTTTTCCCTTTTTCTTCAAGAAAGGAGAATCATCAGTTTGCTGCTGAAGGTTAGACTTCAGGTTACCATCTTCACCTGTTCTATCAACATCTGCCACATACTCCTTGCCTTTCCTCTTCTTTGTCACCGTTTTGCACCCTAGCAATGAAGCTTCAGAGTTTTCACGACGATCATAAGCTTCAATGCTCTGGCCTTTCTTCCCAGTTCTACCCAAGTTAATCTCTTCTACATGTGATAGTGTCACTGGTGAACCATCCTCCTCATCAACAAGATAATTATTCAGATAATTTGAGTGAGACATAGAATGATCATAGGCAACTTCACCTTTCTGCCTTTTCTCAGCAGGATAGGCCCTTGATGAGGACATGCGTAACCTATCACCAGGTTCCCCTCGTAACTGGCCATTCTTGCGCAACTTGTAAACTTGTTTCCTATCAACCTCATCCAAAACTCTTGAAGAAGAGTTATGCAAGGGACCACGTTCATGCATCTTACCCTTCTGTTTTCCTTTCAAATAGTAGCTTTCTACTCCTGGCACATGCACATTTTCCCCAATGCTCTTTCTGGAGAAGCGTGTGTTTCCATCAACAGCCCATGCATCCTCCATTGTATCTTTCTTCAAAGATTTGGTCTTTCTAGAATCTAGGCCAGACTTCAATGAGGACAACCTAGATCCTTCTACGACACCACTAGGGTATGCCAACTTGCTTCTCATTAAAGGATTGCTATCCTCATCATCATCGAATTGCTCAGATGAATCAGATTCTGTTTCATCATTTTTAATGAACGCTCTACCACCTTTTGAAGCAGCCATAAGTGGTCCCCCATTTTGCACATAGTTCCCTCTGATCTTCTCCTGTGATTGTTTCATTCTACCATCTGAATGCAAGTATCGGTCATTCATCTGTGGTAAGGATGCTTTATATGATTTAAAACTGAGATCAGGAGACTCTCGCCCTGTTTTCCACTTCTTGCTCCTAATATTCCAATCATCAGATCTAACTGACAAATCCACAGAGATATCTTCTCCTTGGTTCTTCTTTTGCCAAAACAGTTCAGCACGTTCTGATAAGTCGACTCGACTCCCTTTCAATGGCAGTGGTGGAGTTCGGCCTTTCATAGACTTCATCTGATCTCCAACTGCAAATTGCTGATGGTTTTCAGCATATTTGGACTTTTTGGCAAAATCATAGGATGCTCTCATGTTAGGCAGCTTTGTAGAATATACTTTTGCCTCTGACAACTGATTTACATTCCTGTTCCTACCATAGGCCTGCAAATCATTCTTTGAAGACAGAGGCAAAGCCATGAAACTATCACCCGCTAATTCTTCCCCTCTTAAAAGGTCATACTTCTTCCCTGCTCTCAATGAACCAGATTTGCTCATGATGCTATCACGCACAGCATTTCGGTCTCGTTGAAAACCCATTCCAAACATTGGGTCTTCAGCATCATCATCCAACCTCATCCGATCCCTTGCCCTGAGTGCTGCCCCTGACTCATATTTTTGTCGAGGAAGGGTTCCTGCCAAACCATATAGCTCAGAATTCATATCTAAACCAGGGTAAAAGTGGCTGCCAAACTCTTTTGCAGAAGGTAATTTTGACCCACCTGTCTTCAGTATACCTTTCGGATTCTGCTTCCTGTACTTTGCTGGTTCCGAAGCCATCGGCTGTGGTCGTGAAATGAATTCTAAACTTGGATCAACCCCATAGCCAGACTGACGACCCATTTTCTGCAAAGCTTTCCGGTCCTTAACCCTTTTTCTCCACGAGCCATCATCCAAATCATCTCTTTCGGAAGATTCAGAATCCTCATCGTCCATTTTCTCATACATCAAACTCTTCTGACTTCTCATAATATTCAAAACACGAAGCCGCTCCTCAATACTGTATCCCCTACAATTAAGCCAAGCATCCCTTATTTGACAAAGATTAACCACCATACCATTCTGATGCTTCCTCAAATGATGGTAATGCTGCCGCTTCTGAAAGAAATTCAAACCCTCCCGATAAAGTGCAACCCTCGGCTCACAAAGCCCTCCTTTCAACATATCAAACAACATCTTAATCGGACTCCCAAAATGAAAATTATTACCCTTAAGAAGGTCATACAAAGTCCGCATAAATGTGTCTTGATCCATATCAGGCAAAAACTTGGAAAGGCTAAACCTCTCTTCATCACTTAAACACTCATTCCACACATCAAGAGACAAAATATCTTCCAATCCAGGAAGATCATATAACTCAAAAGGAACAGAGCAAGTCAAGTTCCCAACTTTGCAAAATTCAGCCCTGGTTTCACCTAATTCCAACAAATCAAAGTCATCCGAACCTGCCCCAGAATCAGCATCATCAAATTCATCATCATCATCATCAGAATCAACAGCGGAGCTTCTACGTTGAAGTTCATCCTCGTCACTCGACATAGTCATCTCTCGACTACCCGGCGAAAACTCCGAATCAAATCGTGAAACTTTAAAGTTATTCTTCTCAATCGCCATCATAACATAAAACACCGAAAACAAACAAAAAAAAAATCTAATTCCTCAATTCTACCAAATTTTCAAAAACTTATTTTCACCGTTTCCGAATAAAGCCAATTCATCAAAACCCTAACAGAAACAAATAAACGAAAAGAAATTATCAAAATTTAAAATTACAAACGGCATAATAACAACTACAATAAAATAAATCAGAACGAAATAAAATTGAAATTGAGAAGAAAAAGAATACCTCATTCGAAGGAAAGAAGAATCTGCGTCGAAATTGAGAGAGTCGAGGAATTGAAGATTTGGAGATTTCTTCTTCTTCTTCTTCTTAATTTGAAGAAAAATAAGGAGAGCGAAAAACAAATAAGAATTTGGTTAAATCTGGGAAACCCTAAAGGGGATTAAATAAAATAGGAAGGAGATAGAGGGGAAGGGGAGGGAACGGGATGAAGAAGACGGTGGTGACGTGGAAGGATGGGAACCATCGGATAGAGATTGGAGGAGAAAAGACCAAAAAGGGCAGATGGGGGGGGCGCGGAGGTAGAGGAAAGAGAGAAAGAAAGAGAGTAGAAAGGAACTAAAGGGTTTGGTGAAAGAGAGAGAAAGGGGGTGACTGGACTCGACTCGACTCAGCGAGTTGAGTTCGTGCGAAAGAGAAAGAGAGCAAGGAAGCCAGACGAGAGATTTAGGAAGTTTCCGGCCGTTGGATCTGCCCCTCTTGAGGAGCAATTTCCTTCTTCGACGTCGTTTCAATCCCCTTCTCATTTTTCCCTTCATTTAAAGGTTTCCTTTTTGGAGTTGTACGGATGAACGTGGAGGCAGTCCAGTGAAACTGGAATGGTGGTGGTTAAACGGTTATCGTTATATACATAAACATTTTTCCTTAAAAGGACTAAAAAAGAAAATCCATTTTTATATGATAATTAAACTGTTAATATGTTATTAGAATGCGTAATCTTACCATGTCTATATTTATGTTTTAAAACAAATATAAACTTAAATAATAAAAAGCTCATCAATTATATTAATTCTTTGTAATTGAGCTCTATATTCTCACTATACTCAAAGAAGTCTTTATTTTTTATTTATTTTTAATAAATAAATTATTCTTTGAGTATTATATCCACACAAACTTTTAATCCATAATGAAAAATTAAAGGCTATTAGATCACATGTCAATTAATATTTTCTATCTATGTGGATTAATGACATAATTATAAATCAATTGAGATAATCACGTCATATGTCAAGCGATAAATATGAATAAGAAAAAATAGAAACATATTTCATCTTTATTACATGAATAAAAAATATTAATTAATATTGAATCTCACGATAATTAAAAGTTTACGTAAATATAATGAATACAAAATTTTTAAGTAAAGTATATTATAGAAACCTAATTATATATATTAATATAATTCAAGATTTTTTTATTATTTAAGTTAAAAATATAAAAATTTTCGTGTTTTTCATCTCATGTGACAAGTATAATTATAAAAATAAAGGTACAAAAATTACCATTGACATAATCTGTAATTCATAAGGGATAAGGAATTACTATTAACATAGGACTATCAATTTATTTTGATAAAAGAAAGAGAGAGAGAGAGAGAGAGAGAAACCAAACATATCATGGAACATGTTGAATGAGAAATAACGAGGGCAAAAGAAATTCATAGGACATGTTTTTCAACGTAAATGTCATGCAACGTGTCAACTCATCCACTGATTTGAGAACAACGGAAACATTTGATTTATTGACCTAAAATGTATTCCGTACATGCTGATTCCATTTACAACGACAAAAGTCAATGAAGAATAAACGGCCTCTTTTTAACAGGTAATTAAATTAGGTATCATTATAAAATCTTGATGGTTTTATAATATCCCTTGATAATTGACATTTGATCATTGAAATATAGCAATAATTACTTTTAGATCATATTTTGAATTATAAGATAAGGTAAAATACTTTAAAAAAATTTCAAAATTATTTAATAAAATTTTTATTATTTTATACATGCGTTTAATTAAATTTTTATATTTTTTTATCATATAGACTCTCATGATTAATAATTGACAAACTATCGTTAATCAAAATATTATATTATTGACATCATATTAACGTAAAAAATAAAATTATCACATGATCATATAATTATATCATATTGATATATTATATTATTATTTATTATAATATGTTAATATATTATATTAATATTTAAAATATTTAATGTTGCAATGGATTACAACAAGTACACAATAACTTACACGTATAAGAAATTTTCTGTTCTTCCCATGAATTGGGAAACCTATGATTTTCTTCTTCATTTTTGGGTTTCAAGTTTCTGAAATTAGTTATCATTTCCTACTTGGCAATAGTTGTTGGGTTGTTGGTTGTCCATGAAAATAGAAAGATCAGAGGAAAAAAGAAGAAAAGAGAAAGTAGCATAGTTTTTTAAAAACTAAGTTACGCACTGGTTTCCAATTGGAGCTCTTCATTTATTGATTTATATGGAAAGCAATAAAGAGCTTCCTCTCATTCTCATAGGCTCGGCTGCCTTGACAGGCTCTTAACAATTGCTATTTTTAGACAAAACGCACATAACTAACTGAATCTCAAATATGTCTTCCCTCCTTTCAACACAAGTTTGACCGTTTCTTTTCGTTTGCTTCTCTCAACCATCATCTCTCGATTCGTTCTTGTCACCATTGTCTTTGGGGTTTCTGTGATTTTCATTACAAGGTGAAGAAACGGGAGAAGACACAGAGTTATGAGGGACAGGGGAACAACGACTCTCCCAGGGGATGCAAGCGAAGACAATTCAAGGAAATGGATGCTTGAGAGCATTGAGATTGATAGAATGGCCGATGTTCCTCTAAATGACCAGTCTGGGACATCCATCTCCACTTGTCCCAATGAAGCAGCCTTCACCAGGGACACAAGTACTTCCAACACTGCATCGCACTCGAGGAATCCGAGTACTTCCTCAGGGTTACCTCCGAATCCAGGCAGTTTAACCGGGTTGCCTTGGAATTCGAGTACTGCAGCCGGGTTATCCAGGAATACGAGCATTTCCCCGGCGTTTCCACGGAGTGCTTCCAGGGTGACATCCTTCAGGAGGCTTATAAGTACTGCTAGGAAGAGGTCAAATGGGGCTCCACCAAATATTCCTAGAGTGCAAAGGACTGCCTCTTCCGCTGCGAAAGGGATTCAGAGTCTACGTTTCCTTGACCGAACCGTCACTGGGAAGGAAATGGATGCTTGGAAATCAACGGAAAGGCGTTTCAACCAGTTTGCGGTTGATGGGAAGCTCCATAGAGATAAATTTGGTGTCTGCATTGGTAAAACTTATGCAACATTTGGATAAATTTTTTCCTTGTTAAAAATATGCAATTCCTTTAAAAACAATGACAGGATTAAACTTGATATGATGCCTTGTAGGAATGGGAGATTCCAAGGAATTTGCAGGGGGAGTATTTGATGCCTTAGCAAGGCGTAAAAAAATAAACCCAGACTATGGGATAACCAAGGAAGAGTTGCAATCATTCTGGCAAGATATGACTAATCAAGATCTTGATTCAAGGCTTCAGATTTTCTTTGATATGTAAGAAATCTATATGTCCCTATCTCCCTTAATGTACTTACAAGCTGGAGATAACATTTTGGTTCTTCCAGGTGTGACAAGAATGGTGATGGTAAGCTGTCAGAGGAAGAGGTAAAGGAGGTGAGAACACGAATGCTTGTGATTTCTTCCTTGTATTCTGCTTACTCTTTCCATGTGATAATTGGATTTCTCATAATTGTAATGCAAAAAGATTTTAGTGTTGAGTGCCTCCGCAAACAAGCTTGGGAAACTTAAACAGCAAGCCGCAACATATGCATCTTTAATCATGGAAGAGCTTGACCCTGATCATATGGGATATATAGAGGTCAGAAATTATCCATCGACAACTCCTTTTTTCCAATTTGAACACATTTACATAAGTAAGCTAGAATTCCTGTGAATTTTCTCTTTTCAACAGATATGGCAGTTGGAAATTCTACTAAGGGGAATGGTGAACTCTGATGAAGGCAGCAAGCTTAACAAGAAATCGCAGTCCCTGGCAAAAGCAATGATCCCTAAAAGATATAGAACTCCAATAAGCAAATACACATCCATGACCGTAGAATTTGTCAATGAAAACTGGAAGAGAATATGGGTTGTAGCACTTTTTGTAATCATAAACTTAATCCTCTTCTTTTGGAAGTACATCCAATTCTACGGGTCAGCAACGTATCAAATCACAGGTTATTGTGTCTGCGTTGCCAAGGGTTCTGCTGAGGCTCTCAAGCTTGACATGGCTCTCATTCTCCTTCCAGTGTGTAGAAGAACTCTTACTAAGCTCAGATCAACGTTTCTCCACAAAATAATCCCTTTTGATGACAATATTAACTTCCACAAGTTAATTGCACTAGCAATAGCCATTTGGACCAGTCTCCATACTTTTTTGCATCTTGCTTGTAATTATCCGAAAATATCTGGATGCCCAACAGGAAAATTCATGGCACTTCTTGGGCCTGCCTTTGGTTACAAGCAACCAAGTTACGCAGACCTGGTGAACAATACAGTTGGTATTACTGGGGTACTTATGGTGATTCTAATGTTATTTTCGTTTACACTGGCAACGCACAATTTTAGAAGAAATGTTGTCAAGTTACCATGGCCATTTACCATATTGGCCGGGTTCAATGCTTTCTGGTATGCACATCATTTGCTGACCTTGGTCTATGTCCAACTGATCTTGCATGGTTACTTCCTCATCTTCAAAAAGCCTTGGTACTGGAAGACGGTATGTGCCACTAAATAATTTCAAATCATTCTCGAAGAACATTAATCAATTCTCTGAGTTACACAGAAAATTATTGGAACCCTCTCTTCCCCTTGCAGACTTGGATGTATCTCATGATCCCAATGTTATTCTATGCAAGCGAGAGATTCCTTACCAGATTCCAGGAACACAAGCATAACGTGAATGTCATTAAGGTATGCATAGAACCCTCCTTTATTTCATCTCCTTTCCATTAATCTCCAAATCCAGGGTTATTATCAATCATTTTTATTCTGTTCTTTGGACATTTCAGGCTGTTATATATACAGGAAATGTTCTAGCTCTATACGTGACCAAGCCTCCAGGATTCAAGTATAAAAGTGGAATGTATCTGTTCGTCAAGTGTCATGATATATCTAAATTTGAGTGGTAATATATCAGACATTATTCTATCTTGTATTTGTCAGAAAATGTTATCCGATGCCTAGGAATTATCTATGTTCATACACGACTTGGTCTTTGATCTAATTACAGGCATCCCTTCTCCATCACTTCGGCACCAAAAGATGACTACCTGAGCGTCCACATACGAACGCTGGGGGACTGGACTAGAGAACTCAAAGATAGATTTGAAAAGGTGATAAACATATAATCTTAATAACGGCTGGAGCATTCCCATTAATTTGACATTAATGTTACAGAAAATTAGAGGCACCTTGTGAAATCATGTCCCCCTTCATAGTATTTTCTCCTCTAGATGTTCCTATTCTTGTTCTTTTTTCTGTCGATCTAAATCAAAGAAATGCAGGTTTGTGAACCCCCAACTGTGGAAGCAAAAAGAGGCAATTTAATGAGAATGGAAACCAGAGCAACTAAAAAAACAGAATCAAGTGCAGACTACGAACAGGAACAAACTATGTAAGTCAGTTGTTGGTTCACGTAGTTTTACAGCTCTCTCAATACATTGTTTCTACCTGGTATAAAACGCAGTTTTCACATTCTTGGCAGATTTCCAAGTATCTTCATCAAGGGCCCCTATGGAGCCCCAGCCCAAAACTATAAGAAGTATGACATTCTCTTGCTTATTGGTCTGGGAATTGGGGCAACCCCATTTATCAGCATCATAAAAGATCTGCTGAGCCGCATCAAGCCAGCTGTGAGTTTGGCAAACCTGATTCCAATCTGTTGACATCCTGACAAAATTGGTGTTCAATTTTTAACATTAGAAAGAATTTGACTAATACAGGATGGTTTACAAACAGAGGGCGGTATGAAGCCTGGTAAGAAGTATCCTGAAAGGGCATATTTCTATTGGGTAACTAGGGAACAAGGCTCCTTCGAATGGTTTAAAGGTGTCATGGATGACATTGCAGAACATGACAAAAATGTGTGTTTCAACAGCTTCAAAACGAATCTCTACTTCACCATTTCTATTTCCCTGAATTAATTATTTATACCAATCAATTATTGCAGAAAATGATAGAAATGCACAACTACTTAACCAGCGTGTATGAAGAAGGCGACGCTCGGTCTGCCCTCATCGGCATGGTGCAGAAAATTCAACAGGCTAAGAATGGAGTTGATATTGTCTCAGAAAGCAGGGTAATTTTCTTTACTTTCACTAAGCTTGAATGTGCAATAACGGGCCTCTTTCTTGCGCTTATTTTTCCAGTGTGAAACCTTTTCACACAGATAACGACACATTTCGCAAGACCCAACTGGGGGAAAGTTTTCTCTCAACTGGCTAGTACTCATGAATCTTCTCGAATAGGTAAAAGCAACCGGAAGCTATAATTTTACTGCATGCCATTGATTTTTTTTTGGTCCCCCTGCAAATTTGATTATCTGCTGTTATATTGTTGCAGGTGTCTTCTACTGTGGAAGTGCTACACTTACCAAAGTATTAAAGAAGCTATGTCATGAATTTAGCCTAGAAACATCAACCAGGTTCCATTTTCACAAGGAGAACTTTTAAAGTGTACACTTCACAATCATGTAAACTACACAAAATCTAGTGAAGAAACTTGCCATAGAGTGTTCATCATCGAATAACATTCTTTGAGCTTTCAATTTTGCTAATGGCTGAAGAGCTCTTTGAACATCTGTTAATTCCTTGTCGTCGAAAACTTAATAATTCTATTGATCGTCTCCAAAATGTAAAGATATCTGACACACGTGTTTGTGAGACACTGACAATCCATACTACATTACAAGGTCGATAGGATCTTCATTGATTCGAAAGTTCACAGGACAACAATTAAGGGATTGTCCAAGCCACAAATAAGACAAAATTCAATTCTTGAAGCATGTATATAAACATTGGGTCATCTTTTAAATGCTTAAATCATACTGAATCTTGTTGGTAGGAAGATCGGGCTACGAGCACATAAGGCAAGCATCTAACTTATATTCAATTGATAACAATTGAACTTCGACGGTGGTATTCAAAGAAACAAAAACATGAGCAAGAATATCTCAAATGAAAACTAGAACAAAAAGAGTGAAAATAAATTGTGGGTGCTTAATTTTCTCTGCTACCCTCCTACCAACTTTTGAAGGAATTATATTTGATGGGGTAAGTAACATGTGTGGTTGGTTCGGTACATTGTAATGCAAATCATAGGAATCTTGTAGTAACCAACATGCAGGTAACTCTTAAATTTTATAGCAGAATCTGAGACGAACTGAACCAAGCTGGTCCAGGGGTACTCCCAAGACAAAATACTAGCATGGTTGCAGGATTTGTGGGACAAAGTTGCTGAAGATACGGCCCTGGCTTACGACAGCAAATGATAAGAGTTAAAAAAAAATGGGCTCATAAAGAAAGACCCAAATCCGGAGAGAAATTACTTTCAGCCCTAGGTGAGGCCAGTGGGCAGTGATTGACCTGCAATGAAGGCCTACCAAAAACAAAATCCCTCTCTCTCTCTCTCATTTCATTACATAAATTTGTTGTCTGATAGTGCTATTAGAGGCTAGGAATTGGGCAAGCTATTCGATTCAGGCCCACCCTAACCAGTCCAGTACTGGCTCATGGAAATCTCTACACTTTCATCTGTTTTTTCTCAAAGTAGTGAAACATATAAAAGAATCACATACGCCAAAAATCCATAATTTTACTGGTTACTTGCCCATGCATTTTCATTTATAACTATTTTCTGAAGATTGTGGCGTTGGCTTCACTTTTTCGTACAAAAAATATTAAGGTGAGGAAGAAAAGAGGGGAAAAGGGGTGGTGAATCTAGCAGCCCACAGGCGTTAGATTTTTAGCCTAAGATTTTAATGCAATGTTGGGAGGGTGTATTTCTTTTAAATTTTTGCTTCACCTTAATTGATATTATTATTGCATGCTTTTATTATTGCATGCTGCTTGCTTTCTTCTTCTTCTATATATATATATATACACACACTTAAATTATATCGGCTGGAGTTGTACCTGTTGTCTCTAAAGTGGAAATATTCCATTAATTGCTATGCTTGCTTTGTTATTATTGTCTTGTCCACAGTTGCCTTCTCTTTTGCTTTACATAGTCCTTTCGTGCCATTGATTGGGAAAATGTTTTCATTAAATAAATGTTGCATGTGTTTTACGTAATCACAATCATAAATAATTCACAATGTTGTCAGCCTTTCTTCTTTATTCCCTTATTGATAGAGGAGGTGGAGAGAGACAGAGACAGGGACAGAGGAAGGGAGGGTGGGAGGGAGGGAGGAGAGGAGGGGAGAGGAGGGGTTGACATTGAGGGCTTGACTCAAATTTAAAGGGCAAAAATTCAATGTCATGCTCTCCTGTTTTTTAAAACTAGTAAAGAATGTTCTCAAACACTCAAACTAAACTACCTGCAGGTACTTTTTATAGGAGTTTTGATCCCCATCTTTCTTTTAAATGTTTATACAGTCTTTTGCTGGGCTAGTCAACTTTATATTAATTTGTAATTTCTTTAGATTGTTTAGCAACTCCGAAATTTTACTTCTAATGAAGTATTAATTAACTTTTAAATTCATTTTTTTCATACTAATAAAAAATCATACCCTTATCCTACAGATGAATTTGAATTCAATTCTTTATAGTAAAAGAAGTGGTACCCTCATCTTTGGGTGAGGCATTCAATTAAAAAGTCATCTCTCTTAAATAGTAATATGTTTGAAACTTTTTATATAATTATGTCAATAATTTCCAATAAGTTTGAACTTTTTTTTACCTGTTCTTAAGGTAATAAAGCCTGGTGGTCCTAATATATATTATAGTCTTTAAAGTTGGAAATAATGTAGGTTTTGAATGTATCGAAGAATGAAGGGAAAAAGGAAGAAAGTTTCTGTGTTGGCAGTTCAAATAGAAAGTCCAAATTGAAGAGGTGGATGACTGGTGCTAACAACTAAAACAGTATTTTCCTTGTTTGTTTTTTCTGATTAAATTGGACATGAATTTTGCTATTATTGCATTGACTTGTCTGAAAGATCCAAAGACCAGTTTGGAAAAAAGCTGATTTCTATGTGACTAGATGTTCATCAAGCACTGGTGTTTGAGCTCCTGCCTCTATGTACATGCCAGCTTTAAGATACACAAAAGACAAAGCTGTAAAGATTTGAAAAAACAATGCAAACAACACCCTTTTCGAAGCCAATTCTAGAATTCTGATTTTGGAATTGGAGAAATACACAGTCTAGACTTGATAGGTAAAAAAAAAAAGAAAAAGTAGTAGTAATAGTAAGAGAGGAGCAGTAGCATTACTCCCTAGACAGTTTAGATCTTTCTCATTCTAAGAGCCTAAAAATTACCACACATACATCACAGAAACCCCAAGAAAACAAAAATTACAGCCAGATAAAAAATAAAATTTAAAAAAAAAACTGAAAGCCTAGTTACAATAAGTTACTATAACCTAGGCAGACAGAGAGAGAGCCTGGGGTTTATTTTCTGAGGGGGTTAAGGGAAGGTTTAGGGGTATATCCGGTGTGGGGTTAGGAGTAGTAGAAGTAGTACTGATACAAGAAAGATGCTTGGAAGAGTTGCACTCTTCCTTGAGATTTGAAGCTGTGACTGGGAAAAGTTCAAGGGTTTTAAGGGGTGGCCTGGTGGCTGTACTGTAGCATGGTGATGATAATGGGGAATCCAGATCAACCATCATCAACCAATCACCGCCGTACATTCTCATCCTGGCCTTATCCATGTTGTCCACTCTTTCTGGGATGTCAAACTTCCACGTGTAGTTCATCACTTGCTTTGCCGCTGCATCCTCATGAACCCCTACCTGCTCCCAATGCAAGAAATTAAAACTGGCCGGAATAGTACACTAGACAAGGATTCATTTTGAATATACATTTGTTTACTTCATTTAAAAGCTAATAGCAAAAAAGACAAATTTGATTTTGTCTGCCATTAAATTATAATAATAAAATAACGAGCACCATGCATGCACACACACACACACACTCGTGTGGATGATATTGAACTTTCGATATTAATATCTGTACATAAATTAGGTTTCCTTCCTGTCAGAGGAAGAGAAAAAACCACAATGGCTGCATGTTAGGACATATTGCTGTAATTCTAGATTTTAATTTATACTTTTTATGTACAATATCTTTCATCAGTTATGTTTTCTCTTCATAAAACCGTTATAAAGCTTGTAAGAAAACCCTCCCATAAATTTTGGTTCTCATTCCTATGTTATTTCTTGTATATACTGCTAATACTGTAATCACAGGAAAGGTTAAGCATTGAATGCTACTATTGTTTTTGGGACGAAAAAACAGAATAAATTGATAATGTCTTTGACACTTTGTATTTTTTTTTTTTTTTACCTGAGGAAAAAGAGTGGCTGAGTTAAAGTATGAAAGATGTTGAAAAGCTGGGGAGCCAGGAGAATCGAAGTAGTGAAGGAAGTGGTGGTTAGGATGGTTTTGTTGCAGCTGGTGATGATGATGCTGATGGTAAAGTTGTTGTTGTAGCTGTAGTTGCTTGGTAAGTTTCCTCCTGAGCTTTTGTCTGTCTCTTGCCTTGTGGTTTTGAAACCAATAGAAAACGTTCTTGCCTTCGATCTTGCCATAGAAAGAGAGGTGGGAAGTGATTTTTTGGATTTGAGAGGCATTTGGAGTTCTAATCCCACTTCTATACATCTCTTCTAAGATCATAAGTTGTTCCGGTGTTGGACACCACCTAGAGGAAGCTGCAGGAGACATTGAGAAAAAGAAACACACACACAGCTAGCTGTTTAGTCTTAGTCTTTCTTTTTGATTTAGTATACTGCAGACTGGCTACTCCTTTTGGCCTTTTGGGTTGAAAAAGGGTTTCAAATAACACATATAAATAGATGGACAAAGGAGGAGAGAAGGGACAGAGAGAGAAAGAGAGCAAATAACAATATACAACGCAAAGGCAATGGTAGAGAAGTAAAGTAAGAGAGACAGAAAGGATGGAGAGAGAGGGGGACAGCAAAAGAAAGAGGGTTAATAGAGTGGAAAAAGTACAAGTGCAGCTTGTCATGCTGATGTTTCCCTGAAAGGGGCATTCAAGTGTTGGTTTCAGCATATGCACAGCTGAGAGAGAGAGAGAGAGAGAGAGAGGGAGAGAGAGAATCTGGAAGCCAAGGTGGTAGCGAATGAATGAGGGGAAACTTGAATGATTATGTCAATATCACCTTATTATTTCATTTACTTGGGGCTCAACAGGGATGAAGTAGGCACACCTAAGCGTGTTGGAGATAACTTTTAATGGTTCTGGTCGGAGACAACAGCAAGTAAATTTAGATGCAGATACTGATAGCTTCTGGCTTTGCATACATGAGCATGAGCTACTTCAGCCCACCATGATTGCAGACCGACTTATTCTCACCAAGTTCTCCCATTTACATTTTTTTGTTTGCACTCCTTTAATCGGTTTCATAAACTATGTTATATTTTGACATTTTTTTTTAGTAAAAACCTTCTATTCTACACATTTATTATTTATTAAATTAAAAAATATTATTTGAAGAGAAAAACTAAAACTAAATTTGGTAGCAGAAGGAAGCAAATTTTGTCATCCTTGTAGTCTCTTTTCCATGTCTGTAAGTTCATGCATGTATGCCCTTTCATGTCTAGATGCCCTAATATGCCTTCCTTCTCATGTATGTGCAAGAAAGAATAAGTTAAGAGAAGAAATGTGGACTTCTTTTTCTTTCATTGGTTTCTGCTTATTGCACCTAGCTATAGTTGGACTTTCATTTTGGGTGTATTTGAGGAAGTCTAAAGTAGTAGAGATGTGAACCCTAAATCTCCTATCTTAAAGGGAAGGTAAGTCTGGACTTTTTTTAGCTATTAATAAAAAGTATTCCAAGCATAAAATATTGCATATGAGAAATTTTAACTTGCTATTTCAGTATTGTTAAGTACAACATCTTCCAATTAAATTTTTATTTATTACTCGTTATTTTTTTTACGATAATTATTTATTTTTATTTAAAAAAAGAAATCTGTTCAAAATATTTCAATCCGTACTGTTTTTCTATTGAATTTTTTTATTATATATATAGGTTGAATTAAAGAGACACTTAATATTGGGCTTACTTTATTGACTTTGTGTTTTATATAAATTTGTATAGAACTTCTCTTGTACCCAAATTATGGACACCATAGTTAATACACTCGTGATTTATATATATATAGATATATTTGTTTACCTTATTGCAAGTGGGGTCTCTGCCTATAAAGACATAAATTGCGAGTGGGGTATTGCTTGTAATGAAATGACGTCATCTAGAATATAAAGAATTTATAGCATGTCTCTTGTAACATTGGGCAATACATTATACTAACTCCCACAAAATGCAGCACATTCTTTTCGAATAATAAAAAAAAAAAAACCCAGTAGTAACGGAGGTATTGGAAAGCTAGGCAAATCTGATGTGTCTTTATCAGAGCAGTGATACTTTCCGGCCCGCCCCACCTTTCCTTTGAATTTTCTCCAGCGTCATCATCATAATTCATCAAGAGCAATACTCGTGCACGTAGGTGGGTAGGCGTCTCAGCTTTTTTAGGAGCATAAGACATGGCCAATGCCTCTTCATTTCATCATTTAAAGGGCAGAAAAAAAGGGGAAAGAAAGAGAGAAACTGTTGGCTTTCATGTGAACGCATGGTTATATCTAACGATACTTCAGCTGTTTAAATCCAAAAACCACAAAAGAAAAGACCATTTGACATTCCATAAAAGATCTTGTCCCTGTCATTATTCATTCAGATTTTCATCCACTCCCCCTGGTTTCTTCTCTACTGTTACTTTTGTGTGTTTTTTTTTTAACTTAGAATGCTCCATCCATGCATTTACCCCACAGACCATATTTACTTACTCTCTCTCTCAAGCCCACCAGGGTCTTGTCATCTGTGATTAGTGTTTTACTGCTCTAATGTAGGTTTTTCCGTGACTGTTTGTCGAACCATTTTTCATTAGCATTCAGATTTGATTGAGCACTTTCAGAAACTGTTTTGATGCTTCGAACATATGGTCTGACAGTAATAGCATCTACCTCCCCCTCCCCCTCTCCCTCCCCCATTGATTAGGCCCCCTTTCTAACCGCGTTTAGCTGTAAGGTTTTTTCAAGCTCAATGTCATAGGTAGGGGTCTCAACTCTCAACTCTTTGTAACAGCTCAATCTCTCTCTCTCTCTCTCCAAATTAGTTTCACTGTATAGAAAACGTAAGCCTTGGGCAAACCCATAAATGCATGCAGTCCAAGGACTTGTCTTTTTGCTTTCGCGTCACCATCTCTCTGCCTACATTCCCATTAAATCTCAACCGTTCATTAATCTTTGTTCTCTATTTCGCCCCTCTTACTCAAGAACAACAAATTTTTCTTCCCATTTTATGTCTTTCAACGAAAGACATATGTTATAACGATGAAAGTGAAGCGAATGCAAAAAAATTTTCGGCTCATTAACGTGTAAACTTACCAAAGAAAAAAAGCGAACACCAAATTATAAAAAGAAGAGCTTTAGCACAGCCTCTACAAATTTTTGTTTCTTACTGAAAACATCCCAAAGAAACCTTTCCTTCTTCGAGTATTTGACAATGGTATTGTCAAAACCCAGTAACAGATTCCCACTGCATCAGAATCATCCTATTGTAGCCATGTGATATATAATCTCAAGCAGTGATACAGTCAAGGTGATTGTGTGTGGTCGCATCTAGTTTTTTATTTTCATTATTATAGTATAAAATTTAAAATGTATAAATTTATATAATTATTGTTTAATCATCTCTCATATAAAATTTTGAATTCGTCATTGAATTTTGAAATCATTTTTTTATTTATTTTTATCTTTTCGACATGCTTCGACTTCTAAATTCGAGATTGCTAAAGAACATTGATAAAAATCACTACTGCTATCTTTGCCAGCTGCTATTGAAGAAAGAGTAAAATCTTCCATGAATTACAACTAGGACAAGGAATTCAAGCGGAAAAGATAAGTGGGTCTAAGGAGTTGAGAAAGTTGGTGAGTGTGAGTAAACTCCCAGGTACTTCCAAGCATGTCCCAAGTACATGAGATAAAGCCAAATTTAAATATTGAGTTTGTAAAGCAAAAGGGAGCGTTAACCCTAGGTTTGCAACACTCATCAATATGATATTGAAATTAATTTGACAATTTTTATGTATTTAATCTTTTTTTATTTGAAATCGCAGCTAATTAAGTGATATTTATGTTGAATTTTCAATCTCAAATCGCTAGAAAAGGGGCCATTTGGACTCTGATTATTGAATAACCTCTAAGAAGAATTTTAATAGATATTTGATGGATAAAAATTGAGAAAATCTCACGTAAATGTAAGGCTAAAAAGTTTTTTCGAGACATAATTTTTTTTCGTCATTAAACTTTATAAGATTAAACATAAGATGGAATAGTTTTTTCCTCTTGTTTTTTTTTTGTTTTATAAGTCAAATTCAATATCTCAAACTTTAATCCTTCGAATATCTCTTCGAAGGAGTGATGGTGGTAAATATAATCTTAGAAATCCCACCCCATCCCCTCCTTCTCCTCCTCCCACTCCCCCATAAATGAAAAACATGAGAAAGCCAAGGCCATGAGGCCTGGAGTGAAAGGTTCTTACACAACAAAACTATACAGAAAACAAAGGACTCCACAAAGCTGCTAACCCTAACTGTCTAGTCATATATCAGTACCATTCCGATACACAGAGAGAAGTAAATTTTGTCGAAAAACTAAGGACAAATACGTCATACTACAGCTGATGTCGCATTAAATTATTTTAATATATATGGCAATTTAGATTGCTTTCGTCATGCATGAATGCCTGGAGATTGATTGGACGCCTCCTTGTGTCCCCCTGCAGTACATTTCACCACTGTCCTTCATTATTCTTTTCCCCTTTTTCTTTCAACGGCGTTATGCTTCTACACCACCTCCTTCTTTTGTCATAAACCCGTAACCCTGAACGTCTCTCACTGTAAAGTTGCTGGGCCACGACCCTTTCTTCAAATTTTCAATTAGGGTATCCCTCTGCTATCTTTGATTGACCCCGCGAGCTCTTTATCTTTTTGCAAGCTGTATTTCATGTGATAAATATAATTACTGGATAAATCTTACAAATAAAAAAACCCTATTGAAATAATGTTTGTCTCTATTAGATTTAGGCTCGCAAATATTGAATGGTATTTGAAAGTCAATGGACAGGGTGAAAATGAAAGGATACTGTAACCAAAGACATGATGTTATAGTCCAGAGACAAGGAATTCAACGTGTAACACGTTGTGTCAATTCTGTTTTCCAAATTAAGCATGCATGAGTTTTGAAATATGTTCCAAACTTTTGCTCCTACTTTTACCAAAAGTACTGAGTAGCTTCCATCTTTGCTTATGGGTCATCTGATGGGTACATGTTTACATCTTATTATACGCGCAAAAGGGTGGAAGCAAGCTCATTTTATTACGGAATATCGAGTCATTTTTTCCATAGTGAAAGAAAAAGCATCATCAAGTTTGATCTTAAAAAGGCAGGAGCAAGGGAATGCCCCCCATTGCACGTGTAAACAATAACTGTAAAAACCATCTCGCGCAGCCCAAATATTCTGCAAACAATGGAGACTTCTTTGTCTACTTGCCCTTCCGGGCCGGCTTCCTTTGCATGTTCGGAAATCCATCACGATTCATAATGATTCCCGAGTAAGAGACTGCTGCTTCCACCAGCCTTACCAGGATTGTCGACCGAATCTCTATTTAATTTAAAGCAGCCAAAGGGAAAAGGTCTCCTTTAATCAGGAAGCCATCTTGTGGTAGATATCCCATCTTTATGAATGTTTATCAATCTGTGCTGCAACAGGACACTTAATAAATGTTCGTATATATATATATATATATATAGTTTGTACTTAATACATATGCATTTCAATCACTTTTTCAATTGCTATAACTTTGTTTCAATACATACCAAGACAACTTTCTCTAATTTTATTATATATATATATATATATCATTAGATTTAGCTCATAATCCAAATTAAAAAAATTTTAAAACAAGATAGTAAGTTCTAACCATATTCGGGTGTCAAACGTTACCGACTGAACTCAGCCGCAACGGAGAACCGAAGACAAGACAACGCCCTCTCTCCCCACGTTTGTTTCGGGGACATAAGAGGAAAACCAGTGGAGGGGGGTTGCGTTAAAGAACGTTGTGGGCCTTTTTCTCAGAAAGAAAGGACATCATCGTCATCAACCGCATCAGCAATCTCTGGTTTGATCAGTTGCCATTAATTCCAAACACATTTAGCATATGTTACAACTATGGTCTATGGAGGTATATACAGTGTAATGGGATATGAAAACTATGATTTCGAATTTTTACCAATCAAATCCTAGGAAGGAAGCACAACAATAAATAATTCCAACTATATATATATATATATAGTTAAATTGATGTCCTAAATTTATTTCACAAAAAAAAATAATTTAGTGAAAATTTTAGTTTTTTTCTGGCTACTAACAGGGATGAGGAATCTTCAGAAAACTAAGTAGTAGCCAGTCATTACTAAATACCTAATATTGTCCTATCACTGTTCCATTTATTACTAGTGATTTTCCCCAATTTTTTTTTCACATTTTTTCTTATCCCAAGTAAAATAAATATTTTTTGGTCTTTTATTTAAGTTTAAAATCTTGGAATTAATTATAAGTTAAATTAGTATATATAAATCTTAAATAGAATTGTGCATTTAATTTACCATCCACTATTAGAAAACAGAAAAGAAAAAGGAAAGATAGGAAAAGTAGTAACTATTCACTTTATAAAAATAGTTAGTTTATCATGCTTTACAGTAACAAGGTAATTGGTAATGTGGTAAAAGAAATTGTACATTGTAGAGAGGATCCAAGACAAAGAAAGGAATTTGTTATTTATTCCCATTCAGAACTTTCACACTCTTTCCTCATATGTCACATCCATTTCTATTCCAAAATTAATTTCTTTTTATTTCAGGTTCATGGTACTTGTTTTAAGTTTTCAGAAATTAACTTTTATTAATTTTTTATATATAACTTTTAATGTCAAAAGATTAAAAAAATCATAAAAAATAATTTCAAAACACCCGTTATAGGTCAACATTTTCAATCAAAAAAAATAATGCAATTATCTTATATCAAGTAAAAAATGAGATTAATCGTAAACATATAAACATGAATCTTTCATCATTTATCAAGTATATTTTTTAAATTAAAAATATAAGTTCATAATTTATAAACTTAATTAAATTTTATTTTTAAAGTTTAAAATTATGTATAAAATTAAATTCAAATTTCGATTCATGACATTTAATATTAAAATAAATTCAAATCTTCACTAATATAAAATTTTTATAAAAAATATAAAAATCAAGATAACTTTAAACTATCGGAAGGATTCATACCTCCCGTAATATTATAAAAACAAACAAAGTAGATTGATTAATTGAAAAGAAGAAAGTTTAAAAATGCATGAAAAAAAAAAAACCCAAGTGGATGGGTGTGTCCAGCTGGATAAAAGTGATTGGGCCACGTTAAAGAGATGGTAGTCATTAGTTAATAATCTGATATGACTACTGATACATCGACATGGGGCTGATCTGTCCGTACACTTGTGGTTTACCATTAATTTTTTTTGCTTATCCCAATATTTATGGTTGTAGGTATAAATTTGCTACTTTCTTTTTTTGCTCCTGTTTGTGATAAGATATCCATTGCCCCTTTTAATTTTACCATTTAATAATATATATATATATAATATAACAATTAAAGCTAGCTATTACCATTTAAGGTATGACAGAAATCTATATAATTTATTACTTCATCTGCACCCTTTTTTTGGTCAAATTTTCGTTTCTAAAATGTCTCAACAATAAAAGTTTTTATACTTTTTAGACACTGAATGTTTTATTTTTTATATTAAAAATTTATTTTTTATATTAAACAATATTGAATATTTATATTATAAAAAATTTAAATTTAAATTTAAAATATATTAAAATCAAAAATTTATTTTAATTTTCTTGAAAATAAAAAAAGATATTAAGAATTTATTTAACAATTGAGTTATCTTAGGTTCATAATCTTTTATCTATTGCTTTAATTATTTGGGGTATTGACATAAATGTATTAGTGTATTTTTTTAATTATTTTTTTGAAAGGCAATAATTAATCAAAACTTAATCTGTTGGCTGCTAATTTTTTACAATTAAAATGAAAAAAATGCATTAAATACATTTTTTTTACATTTTATTGGAATTTTTTTTTTTGTTTTTGGTATAATAGCATTGTAAACAATGTCCATGTGCAATTAATTACCAGTTTATTTTCTTTCTGAGTGCTTCTTTTAACAGAATGCAAGGTATCATTTTCCCAGAAAAGTGGCAGTGGCTTTGACAAAACAGGTGCTGCCCCCCCACAGTTAGCTAGATCCCTTTAAAAGTAGCTTAAGCATGCCCCAAAAGGAAAAGCAAGCTCTACTGAAGAACCTTCACCATCATCTGCAACAATCTTAAAATTTGTGATGGAAACAAATCAAAGTTATGATCATATATTTTCTATTCACAGTTTCTGATGAACTGAGCGGTTAATAGTAGTTCGTTAAGTCAAGGAAAAGGGAAGAAAAAGGGCAGGTACTGCTGCTTCTACTACTACAACTTTAACTTTGTCTACTGTACTTGGCTAGAAGAGGGCAGCCGCCTGAGTCTGACTTTCAGAGGCTCAGAAAACCCAACAGCCCTCTTTTTGTTTAATGGAGTTCGTTATACTGCATCTAGCAACAGCTTGCTTTTCCTTCTACCTCTTCTTTTTGGAAATATAACAGTGACCATTGTTTCTTTCTGTGTCTACTGCTGGGCGCTGCACCCCTTTGATTATATTTCTGACATGTTTGTTGAATTGGAAAAGATCTTTGTTCTCTTTTTCTTCACAAGAAATTGAGCCGCTTTAAGGTCATTATCCGCGGATCATCAGATAGATACAATAAAGAAGAAGAAGAAGGAAGAGGAAAGGTGTAGTGCCTCATTAATGAAGATAACAGTGGCTTCACCAGCTTTTTTGGCCCGGTGATCAAGGCTTGTTTTCAAGTGCGAAAACAGTTAAAAGAGGGTTTTTAATGCTTTTCAAGCTGAATTGTATTTCGTTAACAAAAGCAAAACTTTGACATGGATTGAGCTTTCATGGCAGCATCTCACTTTCATTAACTTAATTATAAGTCTAGTCAATTTGTCAGATAATAATTAAGGTATCTGACTTTTTCCTAATGATTACATTCGTGTATTTGTTTGTCTAAATTAATAATTACCAGCGTAAACTTGTTATTAATTAAGTAATTAATAGTTAGATTAGATGCAAGCTGCCCATTATGAATCAGATTGAGAGACAAATACAATAAGGTTACTGCCATTGTTTTTTCTCTCAATTTATTATATATGGGTCAAGCAAAATACTAGTCCTGGAACATTTGATGCATAAAAACAAGGGTGACATGAGCTGTATCCAAGTACTCAAGAACAACAATTCTTCTATATATATATATATATACATATATATATATATGTATGTATGTATACACACACACACAACCAAACTGATTTATGGCATCAATCTTTCAGGTGCTGGTTTCTTCGCAAGGACCTTCCTCTTGTGCTTGATCCCGAAAGGAGTGACCTCTTTATCACACAAATCAGAACCATGCCAAACATTCCGAGGCAGATATCTTCGAAAATAGAAGTATCTTGAGCTGAGATGAGACTCTTCCGATGCCTCAACCTGTGCAAATTTTGGTCGCCAATCATCCTTCCCGGATAGCTTGAGATACAGATAACAAATTGGCGATTCCACGCATTTGCCTGTCACTTGAAACTCGTCGACCAAGCAAGCTTGGAAAGGTTTTGTGGGAATATCGTCAAGTACAGCAGGCTGCAATGGATCCAACTTCCTTACATGCTTGGAATTCAGGTGTTGAACTACAATGTCATTTAATTTTATATCACCAAATCTCAGGCTGACATAGTCTGATGTCTCGGCACCCTTGGTGCATGATGTTTGTATCGTGACTGTGTAGGTGCAGTTTCGCTGTAAAAAATATTCAAAAGTTATGTAATCATTAATTAACTTGTATCCGAACATTTTAATTCAATGATTGATAAATTATTTTTAATTTAAAAAAACAAAAATCAAGAAAATTTCATAAACCCAAATTGGCTTTGCGAACTATAAGATAGATAGACCTTGTTGGACTATAACTAGAAAGTAATTATGCAAAGTTCATTACCTTCTTGTTCTGAGGGAGGTTTGCACCTCCTGCAAGTAAAGCAAGTGAAAATAGGCAGCAGCCAACGATCAGTCCCCTGCGTTTCTTTGTTTCCATTTTCTTCTTTCTTCTAAAGGCTTAAATACAGGACTTTTAACTTCTCATCAAATGTTCTCTCGGATCTCTCTATGATATATATAATGATGGGGTTATTCATTCTTTTCTTGACACACTCAAAAAGTTCATATTCCCTGCTTTGCATGCTTTAGGAAATGAACGGGGTTTTCCCTCACTCTTACTTATACCTCTTTGCTTTATCAGGGCTAGATTTTCTCTTTATTAGGGTAAAGCATATGTTTTAATTCCTAAATTAACATGGATTAAAGTGGATCAAATCTATGACTACTTTTCAGAGAACTGACAGCTTCAAACATTGTAATGAAAACAAAACCCAACAAGTATTCTATGTTGCCAATTAAAAAAAAAATCTAATTTGGTGTTTTTGCCCTGAATCAATGTCGATTGAGTTTAATTAATTACTTGTGTTCAAGATTATTACATGTGCCAAGTAATAATTTGGGTCTTTCAATTTTCCTTTCTGTTTTTGTTACACTAATTATGTGGTTATAAAGACTATAATTACTTCTAATAAATGAACTATTGCTTTCTATTATAGTACAAAGGGACAAACATAACATGATAAGATGAGCCTTCAATCAGAAAACTACCTTACTGTTTACATCTTTGAGCAACAAAAGCCATGTAGCTCTGTCAAATTAGGCTAATTATTTTAAAACTAAAATGAAAAGTTTTCTTTATAATTTGGATAGAGCTAAAAATAACAGGGGAAGGCTTGTTTACTAATTCTTTGAACCCTGGAATCTGAATGCTCACGATGATACAAATTATTTTTATAACTTTGTCCTTCCAATACGAGGGAAGCATTAGGAAATACTGGATTATATGGGTTACAAGGTATTTCATGAATTTAAATTTTAGTAATTATGAAAATCGAATTTGTTTTGAAATTCGAGTTTAGAATTTGTTTTCGGATATTTTGTACATTTTGTGATTTTTATGGATTTTCTCTCTAGAACATGAATGTAGGCAATAAAAACTGAATCATGATAAATAAATTAAGGAAAAGAGACAGGATATCATAGTCCATAAGTTATAACATACACTGGCAAAAGTGCAGATGCCGTATGATCAAAGTTGACATGAGTAGGGATAGATGCATACCGGGGCATGGGGGGTACTTGCCCCACGTTGAAATTTTTTTAATTTTTTATATGTATTTCTTTTTTTAAAAAAACAAGTGACTTTTTATGTTTTTTTTCTTTTCAATTTCGTCAAAATGAAACAGATGTTATGGGTTTATACTTATCACTTATTAGAATAGATCAATATTCTAAGAATAGACCTACTAATAACTAATAACCCATTAATTAAGTAATTTATAAAAATGTGACTTATAAGTCCAAGAGGCCAATACTATGACGGCATAACTCAAAATAAAACAAAATATATAATAAAAACTATTAAAAGGTATGTTACATATATATTTTTAACAAATTTTTTATATACATGAACATTTTAGCTTTTTCTAATTTTTGCCTCCAAGCAGTTTAGATTAATAAATTAGGAAAAAAAAATACTTTGAAAACATTGAAAATTGATGTTAAGTGAGGAGAACTTTGACTAGTTTAATTCTATATAATGCGGAGGGGAGAGGGAAGTGGTTGGTACAACTGCAATGTACATAGTTCTGTCAAATGAAAGGATCGACAGCTAGCCCCATTTCCTGCATTCTAATCAAGCTATCTCGGGTTTATATCCCTTTACAAATAAGCCTTTGTTGTTAGTTCGTTTGCTTGAACCAAAATTGCGGCAATTGAGGTTACCTTACTATTCATCCATGACCTGTTCTTCATGACAATGGAAAACGAACGACTCATACATCTAACTCTAAATTGACTGTTTCTGATAGCAACTCTCGGATTTGCTTAATAAACAAGCATAAGTATCCAGATTACCATACATGTCAACAACATTGGGAGTTGATTATATGCTTAGTTTAATCCCATTAACAGCCTGATGAGGTTGAAGTCATGATTGATAACAAACTAGCAGATATATTAATCGGAATTCATGTATACTTTTTGTTTGTAAAATATCAGAATTTGCTTTTGATATTGAAAAGTTGGTAGTTGTAAGCAATTTTCACCAATTGGTAGCTGTTGTCGGTATCTTGACATTGAAAAATTGGGAAATCAATGATGATAAGTAGCCATATACGGATTTACCTAGCCATATATGGATTTACCTACCAGGCTACTAGACTAAACATGCAGCAGAATTTCTTCATGTTGGTTGTAAACATGGAAGAGTAACTTTTACTAACAGCAAGAAAAGCAGGGGAGTAACTCTGAAAAATCCCAGCACCTTACATATAACAATGGAGGCTTTTAATATTTCAGAAAGATAGACAAAGTTTGACTTGAAAAGAAAGGAGGTCAAAGAAATTATCTTTGACAGCACTCTAAATTTGTTCTGACAACTGGTCATTTCAAAGTAGCTGTTGAAGCAGAATTCAAGTTTGTTTGTTTTTTCTTTTTTTTTTTTAATTTTTGTTTCTTTTTGTTTCACTCTAACCTTCAAGCTGGTTAAACTATATCTTCTGATCAACCAAACGCCATTCCATCAGCATTATATATATGCTACTCGGATGGCTTCGATGACAACCTACTCAAATAACAATTGCAGGCTTTGCCATTAGGTTCCCCAGTTTTGTCTTAACAGGTTGAAGAATAGCATAGAGGGAAAAGGGCAAAAAAATGGGTGCTTCATTTCGTCCATCAACAGCACTTTTGGGGGCATTTCTGTCGTCATTTATGATCTTCTGTCTATATCCTAAGCCTGTACTTGGAATCACCCGGCATTACAAGTTTGATGTATGCGTCACTATGACGGTGCTCATAAATTCAGTCTAATACTACGGCAATTATGAAATTTATTGTCCTACTGACTTTATATTTTATCTGATATACATTAACTCCGTTCGAGTGTGATTTGTAGATCAAGTTGCAAAATGTTACCCGTCTGTGCCACACCAAGAGCATTGTGTCAGTAAATGGACGATTTCCGGGACCTCGCATTGTAGCAAGGGAGGGTGATCAGCTTCTGATAAAAGTGGTCAACCACGTGCCAAACAATATATCCATTCATTGGTACGAATCATTAGTAGATGTGTCCATGGCTCAGAATTAAAAGCCATCATCTGAATTACCTGTTTTTGGTTTCTTCGATGTTATAGGCATGGCATTCGACAGCTTCGATCCGGATGGGCTGACGGTCCAGCATATGTGACTCAGTGCCCCATACAAACTGGCCAGAGCTATGTGTACAACTACACCATTTCAGGCCAAAGGGGCACTCTCTTTTGGCATGCTCATGTATCATGGTTGAGAGCAACTGTATATGGTCCGCTGATCATTCTTCCTAACCATGGGGTGCCGTACCCATTTGCCAAGCCCTACAAGGAAGTTTCCGTCATCTTTGGTAAATAATTATGAATCAGCCGACTGAGAAATCTACATTTTTTTAAAAGTTCCGCATTATGTCTCCTTTTGCAAACGTAAGGCATTATAAAATTAATTTGCAGGAGAGTGGTTTAATACCGACCCTGAGGCAATTATTAACCAGGCCCTCCAGACAGGTGGAGGCCCAAATGTCTCTGATGCTTACACCATAAATGGACTTCCAGGACCATTATACAACTGCTCTGCCAAAGGTATTGAAATGTTTTAATGTGATGTCGTCACCATGGATTACATACAGGCATCCTAAAGATATTTAATTCAATGCTGAACTACTGGCTTTTGATAGATACATTCAAGCTGAAGGTGAAGCTTGGCAAGACATACCTTCTCCGAGTAATAAATGCAGCTCTCAACGATGAGCTCTTCTTCAGCATAGCTAACCATACTCTTACGGTTGTTGAAGCTGATGCTGTTTATGTTAAACCTTTTAATACTGAAACAATTCTTATCGCCCCTGGCCAGACCACAAATGTGCTTCTTAAGACCAAACCCAGATATCCAAATGCCACATTTTTCATGACTGCTAGACCATATGTGACAGGGCAAGCCACCTTTGATAACTCAACTGTTGCTGGCATTTTAGAATACGAATTACCGCCCAATGGCTTTCATTCCCGCATCTCCATCAAGGAGCGCCCTTTGTTTAACTCAATTCTACCTGCTCTGAATGACACTTCCTTCGCTACAAACTTCGCGAGTAAACTCCGTAGCTTAGCTAGTGCACGGTTCCCTGCCAATGTACCCCAAAAGGTTGATAAGCAGTTTTTCTTCACAATCGGTCTTGGAACTAGCCCATGTCAGCACAACCAAACCTGCCAGGGACCTAATGGAACCATGTTTGCAGCTTCAGTGAATAATGTGTCGTTTGCAATGCCAACCACAGCATTACTCCAGGCTCATTTCTTTGGTCAATCAAACGGTGTTTATACCACTGATTTTCCAAGTGATCCAACAATTCCATTTAACTATACAGGAACTCCACCTAATAACACTATGGTGAGCAACGGAACAAAGCTAGTAGTGCTTCCTTTTAACACTAGCGTAGAACTAATCATGCAAGACACAAGCATACTGGGAGCTGAGAGCCACCCTCTTCACTTGCATGGCTTCAATTTCTTTGTTGTTGGCCAAGGTTTTGGGAATTTTGATCCCAATAAGGACCCCAAAAACTTCAACCTCGTTGACCCTATCGAAAGGAACACTGTTGCTGTACCATCAGGAGGTTGGGTGGCAATTCGTTTTCTAGCAGACAATCCAGGTAAATAAGGATGCATTAAACAAAAAGAAATTTTAATTTTATAATGCTGCATATTGCTTGCTTGCTTTGAGTTGATGACCATGACCAAAACAACCACATGATTTCAGGAGTATGGTTCATGCATTGCCACCTGGAGGTGCACACAAGCTGGGGTTTGAAGATGGCTTGGATTGTGTTAGATGGAAAGCTTCCAAATCAAAAGCTGCTGCCTCCACCAGCAGATCTTCCTAAGTGTTGATAATTTGACTCACCACCACTTAGTTCACTTCACTTCAACCAGGAGAAATGTCCTAAAGATTTTTTAGCTCTTTATTGTTATTGTTTGGGCCATTCTTTTCAGTAATTATTTCATTGATC